ATTAAACATTGAGTTTGAAAGTTTATCTTACAGAAAACTTTCAACTACACCTGACGGAACAAGATTTCAACGGAGTTTTAAGTTAAGTATTCCATTATCTAAATGAAGAATAATTGAATATAATATGGCCTTACAGTAATTTGACTAAATGAAGATATCTCTAGACTCTGAAGAATACAGACAATTTCAAAAATAAAAACATTAAATAAACTGATCTTGTTTTACAATAATCCCATGATAGGTAGACTGATAAAAAATATTCATAAAATAAACCTATCATCAACAATAAGAGGTGTGTATAAGTAATTTCGACAGTTTATAAATGATTGATCATATTCTTTGTCATGTTTTGTACAAGCTCAACAGCAGTATAGACTAGAGTGTTTAGGCTACGTGTCAGCTTAATCTCATGTTCGTCGATTTGATAACATAGTTGGATAAAGTACTCAGAGTCCTAGATAAGTATGCATTATATGAAAATGATGCTTGATACAATTGTAGTTTATATTTTCCAAGGATAAAAAGAACAGCTAATTTCTTCTTTTTGTTCTATACATATATGTATCTAGATAGATACATAGACGCCACATCACGGTATAACAACAGATGTACTGTTTCTCTCAAGAAAAATCTTTATCCTTCTCTATATGAATTTGGTTTGAAATACTTGTCAGTGCCGATTACATTAGTTTCTATTGAAAGAATATATTCTCAAAACGACTTTTGTGAAGCGTCTATATCGTGCATTCTTAACTTCAAAAGATGTATGCTTGCTCACTTTTCTTAAGTGTAGTAAGGTTCTGATGTAGTTTGATTGCTTGAAATTTTATAATAAAAAATATTTTGATTCATGACTCTTACAATGTCTCGATCTCAAAATTGATACGTCATTGTTAAAATTACGAGTTAAATTTTGTCTAGAAAGCTCTTAGAAAACTCATTTTTACGTACTCGTACTCGACAAATATTGATAATTTTTTATATGAAACGATTTAGATAGTAGTCATGTTAAATTCTGGATACGTTACTTCAAAAAAAGCAGATGAATGCGGATATGCGACTAAGTTTGCCTGTGGGTGGGTGTCAGTCTTCCTTTCATTCACACCCAAAGTATAGAAATTATACTTTCATAGTTTCATCAAAAACAATCATAAGATTAAATTTGATATTGCACCATAATGACGAGAATATATCATCAAATTGTGTAAAAGCAGTCTTTTGTCAGCTTTTCCATACAATTTGCGTAATCTACAAGTCAATTTATCATATTCGAATATTTAGAGGCTGAAGGTAATGCAATGTTTTTATTTACTGTCGGGCTTTGATAAGTAAATGTAAATCAGAGTACCGTGAGACTTTTTCTTCATTACATTGAGTCATGTTATTTCTTATCTGAAGACATTTATCAGCAAGACTATATAAGAAGCACCAAATCTACATTTATATTAGTATTTTTTTAGGCAACACGACAACAATGAAGATTTTTACACGGTTAGCCACTGTTTTGATCTCATGTTTGATTCATCTGAATATCGTGAATGCAATGAGTACACCCAATACCAGTAACTTATCCATAATTGCTACTACTAGAAGCTCATTACCAACATCATCTCCCTCTATACCATCATTTGATAAAATAAATATTTTATTGGCACGAAATGTTCAACTAGAAGCAACGTCGTCACCAAGTGATTATTCCGCGAAAATAACTTGTGATGATTCTAGTATTCTTCCTTATGTTCAAGCAAATGTTACACAAGATTCGACATTAATTGTTTCAGCAACAACCGATTGTGATGTTCTTATTCGAGCTTATACTTATCAAAAAATACGTATTGAAAGTGCATTGAAATTAACTATGACAGATTATTCCTTTAAGGGATATCAATTAGGAATAATTAGCATGGGAGACTCACAGATTCAAATAGCTAATATTGGTTTTGATTTGGCAGAATTCATTTTCTTGGGTAATAGTTCAGCAAAATTAAGTGGAAATATCGGAAAATTAACTATTGTTAGTCGAGGCAAAGGATCCATTGATGCAACTAATATAGTGACGCCAAGTGTCACGGCTACTCTGACGGGTACTGGTTTACTTCAGGTGAAATCAACAGCTAATATGAATTTAAGTGTCGATGGAACGGGTACTCTAACCTGGTGTTCACCAAACGTTCAAATGGATGTAACATTTGATATCTATAAAAAGAAAAATATTCTCTATCAATGCTAAACTATCAGAGAGAATAAAATTGATCATCTAAAAAAGTGAAAGCTCGTCAAAATATTTAATGAATAGATCAACATAGTAAGTTTCTATTCCTTGGTCATCAGTAAAAAGGTTGTCATTGTACATTCATGTATCATGGAAGTATTAATTTTATTCGCTCAGATTCAATTCAGTTTTGCACCAATAAAGACAGGAAAGTATCTTTTATAGTAGTTTAAATATGTGACTAGGCAATAGTTTCTATCCAATTGAATGTAATTCTGCACTCGTAAACAAATAATCTATTGTAATAATGAAAATAAATTTTCTAATATGGTATCAACTAAATCTACCAATTGATATATTGGTTTGGTGGTAAAAGGCTGAATGAGAAAACGTCGAAAGACAAACTATCGGAAGAAAGAACGCATAAAAACAAATTGTCGAAAGAAAAAATTGAAAACACTGACGTCGAAATGTTGTCGAACTAAAGTGTGGTGTAGGGGTGTGGACATCGTGTAGGTATGGATTTCGTGTAGCTGTGGACGTAGTGTACGCGTTGGTGTGAAGTGCGGGTAGAAATATTGCATTAGAATTATCATTAGCATTCCTTATTGCTAACGCTTGGCTGCTGCTAAGAAAGGACCAGAATGTGTGGCAGACTGAGCAAACGGTATGTTTGGATCATTGTGAAGGTCGTAAATAGCATTGAGAGAAAACCGTTCGATTAACTCATTTTCGGGCATGATCATAGTACCGCTTAGGCTTTCCTCAGCTGGTTGAAAAATGAAATACACAGTTCAGTAAAACGTGTCTCGATTCTCTGCTAAGTACTTTGCCGCTTCAAGTAACATCACTGTGTATCTATCATGGCCACAGACATGCATGGTACCTGGAGCCTTTGATATATACATATGATATTTTTGCGGATTTTGTGAGTTGAAGAGCATCCATATCGGTTCACAAGCCGATCGTAAGATATCTGGTCGATTACTTTTCAATCTACCGACTACACCAAGAAAACCAACACTTTCAATGACAACTATTCTCCATAGTTTAAGGGAGGGTGTGGGTGTGGGTGAGTGTGGGTGTGAGTATGGATGTGGGTG